GGGCCAGGCCAGTTTTATTTACCTGCTGACACGGCAGGTTCAGCAGATCGTGGCCCCCACTGGCTGCAGTTCGCCGTCCCGGGCCAATGGGGGCGGCGGGAAGCGGCGCGGGTGAGCGATGTGCTGGCTGCGGCTTCTCAGTGGGGGCCACGATCTGCCGAACCTGCCGTGTCAGCAGGTAAATAGAATTGGCCCGGCCCGCCAGCGTGCTTACCCTGGCAAACCGCGCGCCAAACGTTGCCGACCCCTGATCTAGATTGACTTCCTGTCTTAGGCAGGCCATAGAACTTCCACAAAATATCAGATCTTTTGGATGTTTCTAATCTTGATTTAAAAATGGTCAGTGATGGAGAATCCACCATGACCCTTGGTAAATTGTTCCAGTGGTTAATTACTCTCATTGTTAAAAAGGTATATCTTATATCCAGTCTGAATGTATTTAGCTTTAACTTTCAGCCATTGGATCGTGTTATACCTTTCTCTGCTACATTTAATTGCCCAATATTAAATACTATGTTCATATACTGTTTTATTTGTATGTCCAAAAACATGTAGGTGAAAGGAGAGGGGAAGGTGCCCATTGTAGTCCCAGCATGTGGTGGGATTTTGGGGAGATTTGGGCCAGTTATGGCCCTGGTTGGGAGGGCCATAACTGGCCTTTTTTGTTTTCTCAGCTCTTTTGTTTTCCAACTACAGCACTGACTTGGGCCTTGCTGCTAATAAAGGCTTTTTACCAGACAACATTCCGGTTGTGCATTCAAATCCGTAGGCTCTACAGCTTTAGTAATTCTAATAATGTCAGACCATCTGCATCATCTCCCCAGCAGGAGGTTTTCCATTATTTTCATATCCTCTTCTTGTTAACAGAATAAACATGCTTTGTTGGATGTGACTCCTAAAGCGGTGGATCTGTTGAACTATACCCAGTGGTTCCCAATTGTAGTCTTCTTCAACCCAGACAGTAAACAGGGTGTGAAAACTATGAGACAAAGGCTAAGTCCCACATCTAACAAGAGTTCCCGGAAGCTTTACGATCAAGCAAATAAGCTGAAGAAGACTTGCTCCTATCTTTTTACAGGTAAGCAAGAATCTGTCTCTAATTCCTCTTCCAAAAGAGTGGTGGATGTAGGAGAAAGAATGTGTGTGTTTGAGAAACTAAATTAATACTGTTCAGAGTAAGAGATCATCTTGTACAGTAACCTGTGGTCATGTGAAAACCCTTCCTAGGCAATTAGGAGTTCACTATCTTGATGTATTTCATTATAAAGAAATGTTCATATTGAACTTTACTACTGTAATAAAACTATTTCTGGAAAAAAGTGAATAATGAAAGGGATGGCATTTATTCAGCCTTTTTTCCCCCCCACAAGCCAACAAAAGTGCACACATTGTCCTTTAGAAAGTGGTCTAGTAAAAATGACCATATAATTTTCTTGCATTACCCAATACCTTGTCACATGGAAAAGATTGGATAAAGTAGGTGCACTGAGATTTTAGAATGAATAGAAAAAATATATGAAAACACTAATGCATATATTTTTTTAAATGTCTACAGCTACCATCAATTTGAATTCAGCCAATGATAGCTGGTACGGCAGCCTCAAAGATATAATTCAGCAACAGCAAGTTGAAGCAGTATGGGTATCGGAAGGAAAGGTATGTGGTCAAACAGTTCATACTGTACATGCTAAATTGTTTTTCTGTTCTGGGAATAATCCCCCTTCAAAGTGGTCAGATGGCAAACTCATCACCCTAAATACTGAACACATGTATATATTGAAAAGTTATACTAATCTGAAATCTTTGCAGTGGGTAACTAAGAGAGAAAAAATAGTACAGGATAAAAGTTTATTTTTTTTTATAACTTTATCATGTTGCTCCTGTTATTAAAACCAAGGCATATAGCTGCTGCTAGGGCATACATATTAATTTTTTATTGGAGCTATTTTCATGTTCCTGGGAGACCCAGAATTCTTGCAGTTTCATGTGCTTCTGTTTCTTAGGTGTTGCGTACCATAAATGTTACTGCAAACTAAAATGGGGGATGAAGTCAAATCTAATCCTTCCACTTTTATAGATGGAAGGAATGGATGACGACATGGAAGATCGCATGTCATACCTAACAGCTATGGGTGCTGACTACCTGAGCTGTGACAGCCGCTTGATCAGTGACTTGGAAGACACAGATGGAGAAGGAGGTGCATACACGGACAATGAGCTTGATGAGCCATCAGATGAACCAAGTGTTTCCTCTATTAGCCGATCTTCTGAGCCTGTGCAGCATGAGGAGGTAAGATATTGGGACTGTTGGCAAGACAGTGACTTCCTGAAAGTCATGTGCATCGTAAAATGGTAACAGAAAATGTCCCTTGTAATTGGTGCCTGAGAAAAGTATGATTACAGCTGCAGCATTATGCTAGCTCCGGTACAAAATTATAAAGTCATATTAATTCTAGCATAAAAGTTAAGCTGCTTCCCTGACTCTCTAGTTTCATTGATAGTGTCACCTGGAGTGCAGGTGTTCACTTTTACAGAGATAGTAGTCATGTCATTGCCAGTCATGTGACTACTGGTAATTGGCCCACAAGGCTAGGATTAAAACAAGTCAAGAATTACTTGAATATTCTTGTGATTAACTTCTTATATTTTCGTAGAGTATAAGAAAACCCAGCCCAGAACCAAAAGCTCAAATGAGAAGGGCTGGTAGCAGAGAGATACTTAGAGATCCCAGCCCACCTCCAGCGTTCAAGCCCGAGCCACCTAAGGTAATTTGTGGAAATCAATTTGAAGATAGAGTTCATCTTTCTAAAGAACCCACCTGGTGCTGTACATCGTGGGCTATGTTTCTTCTATTAGGGTAACCTGCTGTTGGAAGCTAAAATGCAAGTTGGGAAGAGGAAGGAAGGGGAATTGACAAAGAAGAGGATTGTGAGCTGTCAAAAGAGCTTGGCAGCTGGTTGGGAAGAGAATTCTTGAGATTTAGAAGTGGTACCATGTGTTTCATTAGAGGGTTTGGTGACTAGCTGGAAAACTACCCATTTCTCTCCTGATCTCTTGCCCAGGGGAATTCCGGCACTCTTGCTCCCTTACCAAGCCCAAAACAAAGATCTTCCTGAATGTCTCAGCTGAGGAGAAGTTCAGACACACTCCTTCTTGATTTTAATAAGCTCTCTGCTGGGAGCTGGTTCAGAATGGCAGTGGAATGGCAGGAAATCCTTTTGGCTTTTTTATTTTTACCTTTTAAGTAGTAGTGCCGAACTGTGCTCCAGGGTCACTTCAAGAAAGGTGTTGCAGCTATTAATGAAATCCTGTGTTCAACCCTCTGACTTTCTTCATGGAGGTGGACACCAACATTGGTCTGCGTTGTGCAAAATACACCTACTAGACAGTTAAACAACCATACTTTCAAATATGCCTTGGCAATAGAGTTTGGGCTGGGTAGCAGTACACGTAAGTGAAATGATGATTGCAGGGAGAATAGGCGTGTGTCCTGTGTAATAGTTTCAGCTCAGAAGAATATTCTCCATATAATCCAGAAAAACCTCTTGCTCTGGTTCTTCCTGTTCTTTCTCTTTTTCTTTCCAGAAATCTTTTAAGAATTAAATAGACTGGTCAGATTTTACTGCTCATTATAACACTGCATACAATGTAAGACTTTGTCCCTATTCAAGTCAGTGACCAAGCTCCTATATATTTAAATACTCAGTGCTGTGATCCCTTATGAACAAAGATGGGCAATACAAAAATGCACAAGCAATATAACCAATTTCAAATGAAAATATTTATCTAAAGATGCTGAAGTTGCTGCTATGTGTAAACTTCAGTGTGTTCTTAATACCTATAGGGTAAACTACAAAACAAAGAGGATGTATATGACTTTCCCAAGAACTATGACTCCAAACCAAATAGCTCTAGCACTGTCAGCAATGAGACTTCAGCCGTATTATCCAAGGCAGCAGCACCTCCTGTTTCTGTGAAACCTGCCTTTGGGCGTCCTATACTGAAGACCTCTCAGCCAGCAGTTTCAGCCGCAGAGGAGGAGGAAAAGGCAGAGGAAGATGTAGATGGACGAGAGAATGCTCCAAAATCTGTACTGGGGAAAGTTAAAATATTTGAGAAGATGGATCACAAGGCAAGGTTGCAAAGAATACAGGAGCTACAAGAGGCACAGAATGCCAGGGTAGGTAGTAACCTACTTTTTCAGTCTGTCCTGTATATTTGTTTAGATATAGTAATACAAACACACATTCTGTGCTATAAGCACCCTCAATATTGAATTTAAAAAATCATTAAAAACAAAAACAGTAGCACATTTCTCCCTCTCCTTCCAACCTACCATTATACCAACCAGCAGTGAGCATATACATTAGGAATCAAAATTTCCCTCGACATCACATTATTCCTATATTTAAAAAAATATATAGAGAGTTAGTTAGTTAGTTAGTTAGTTATATTTTGGGGAGGAGTAGGTAGGGAGGAAAGGGGATATAAAATATGTTCTATGAAGAGGTTTCCTATAGTAGCTACTATAGGTTAATGGCTTTGTTCTTTTTTTATTTCTGTTATTTTGGCAGTACAGTGTTTTACTTTAAATTAAAAACTATCTCAATGTGGGAGCAGGAAATAAGACCAATCATCCATTTGTATTTTAATTCCTTTACAGAGAAACTGAGCTACATTGCTCAGTCTCAGATCTCCTGACTGTATAAACTGAAAGGCATTTTTTTTTCTTCTGCTCTTTTTAAAGCTGGAAATAGCCCAGAAACACCCAGATATCTATGCTGTCCCAATCAAAACACAGAAGCCAGACCAGAACTGGCCCCAACCCATGAGGTAAGACAGATCCACTTGAAAATACTCCTCTGGTTTATATTTACTACACCAGCAAGAGCAACTTAATTATGCAGCTCTTACTCATGCAAGTAGTGCCCTGACACTACCAATGATTCCTGAAATTTACACGGTGTCAAAGATGAGAAGCTGTAGGGCTGACCTGCCTTGACAGTAGACGCTTCTGCAAGGCCTTCCTTTCAGAATCTTTCCTTTATCTCTCTTTTTCAGACTGGTCCATACTACTGCACTTGAATTACTCAGAGAGAATTTCACAGATATTGTATATTATTAAGAGATTCGTGGTGCCAGTTCATTTTGTGTCTCATAATTAGATGTACACACAAGATCACTTGTACTTCAACCCTTCAAGGCTTTCCCTTATGTGTCCAAGACTGGATTGTTGTTGTGTTATACTAATCAATATTTGAAAGTGATTTGACAAGTTTCACAGCTTACAGTGGGACTACTTGGGGTATAAGGTAGTACTCAACATCAGTAAGGGTGGTAAAGTCTGATTTTACACAGTCCATTATTATATGCATTTTATGGGTGAGGAAAATGGTGTTAAGTTACTTGCCCAACGGGAGACAGTGAGTCACTACAGAGTCAGGAGAAGAACCATGGGCCTGATCCAAAGTTCACTGATGTTAATGAGAGTGTTTCCATTGAATCTGGTGAGTTATGGATTAGTTCCCAGATATCCAATCTTGGTGCCTTACCCACTCTACTATGCTTATTCACTAGTATGACTTGGACAGTGGCCTAAGCAAAACCTTGCAACAAACAATTTGAAGGATCTGTTTTGATTTTCATTTGGAAATGTTCTAGTTCTCTCACCCTTCTCATTTGTAACTCTTTTGGGTACAGGGAAGGCCTAATGAGTTGTGAGGTTTTTCTTTTATTTTTTTTACAGTCAGCTCCTTTGCTGGATTAAAGTATAATCAAATTGGGAAGGCCCCAAAACAGTCACTGCAGCATTTCCCTGATGAATTTATTATTGCAAAGCTATAGGAATTGTAAGCTTATAGCATCTGTAGTGGTGTTTTTAGGGAGGAGTAAAATATTTAGTTTAGCCAAATATGAAGATAAAAGAAACAAGCAACTGACAATTTAGAATGAGTGTTCGTAGGAAGTGTAATTAAATTGGCTAAATCAACACTATTAAACAGCATCGTTGCTTTATTCTAAGTCATTCAGGATCTTAAAAGAATGTGGGGGGGAAATGCTTCCTCTTGCCAGTGCTCAGTATGGAGTCTAGAATGATAGCTGCTGAAAATCAGTGAAATCCCCCTCCTTTCCTATGTAGAGAATTATTACATGTGCTGTGCAGCGCTGTTTATATTCTATATAAATAGTTAGCTTTATAACCTATACAACTTTTTTCAAACCACTTAACACTAGTTCCCTGTATAAAAGGGCTTACCATCTAACTCTTAGAAATGTTCATGAGGTCTGTGGAGGAGTAGATACCTCTTCGGTGGGGAGATCAATATAGGAAGCCTTCAGGCAAGGAGTAGAAGGCTGTTCGAAGATATGAACCAGCATGAAGGCAAGAGAGGAAGGACACCAAGTAGTCAGTATGGAAAGTAACGGAGTGGAGTAAAAGAGAGAGCGGTGGCAGAGGGGAGAAGGGAGTAGTTGTGTGCAGAGTGCTGAAGGTCAGGGTCATGGTTAGCCTTGCTAGCATATAATTGGTGTGTCCTCATATCTTAGTGAACAGGTTGCAGTTGTTTACAGGTTTGTGTTCTTCCACTTTTCAGACCAGAAATTGCTGACATCTTTACTCTTGTTTTTTGCTGTGCTAGTTCCAGACCTCCAGAGCCTCAGAAACCCCCTGCCAGGCCTTACCTAGAAAACCGAGGAAGTTATGGCAGTGACGCAGAGGAGGAAGACTACCGTCGGCAGCTATCAGACAACTCCAAGCGTGGATATTACGGACAGCCATCCAGATATAGGGACACAGAATTATAGACTCAATAGCACATGCATCTGTAATGCTCTTTTGAGACTCTTTTCCTTCAACAGCCAAAATGGAGTTCTGGTTAGTTATAAAGTTATATTTTTGTTGGAGGTCATAGGGTGGTCTACGGGAACTTGGACATATCCACACACTGGAACTGGAGGACTTACTTTTTGAGACTATTTTGAGTATCTAAGAAAAGAAATCACTTTTGCCTGAATGTTGTTGCCTGTTTTATAAGGACCAATACCTATTTGAAAGCTTGTATTAATTCTTGGTATTTTCATAGTTTAACATTTGTTAAAAAAATTTAAACTTTTTTCTCTTACTTAAAACTGCTTTTTTAGACTGTTCCGCTGTTATGAAAATGTGATCAAAGACATAACACTTTTTAATGCAAGAACTAAATTAAAAAAAGAACTATAAGTGCCTTTAACAAGAAGTGTCTTAAATTGTTCATATTGATATCTGACACTTGTGCAAAGCCATAATTTACTAAAGGGTGTTTTACTCTGTTGCCTAACTTTTGTATCTGTTTCATGGCTATAATTTCCCTGATACGTTATTTTTCTAAGATAATAGATCGGTATACTGCTTTTCATAAATATTGACTGTACAGGGGGAAGGTGTGTACCTTTGTATACTAGCTTGTATGAGGCCAGGAAGGGTTGAAATTGAGAAAATGATGTAGAAATTCAATTAATTATGTCTTTAAATTGATATGGACCACAAAATAATAAATGGATATATTCTAGACAGACATCTCACACCTATCTTTTTTATTTCAAGAAGTAAATATTTTGGTAACGCCTTTTACATTTTTATTAACTATTGCATTTAAGGTGCTTGTTTGGTTTGGCTCTAGTCTTGCACTATTGAAATCAGGGAAGGTTTGCTGTTGATGTCATCGGAAGCAGATTTAGCCCCTATTGGTTTTGCTTAGTGTTCTGAAGCTCCTAATCTTCAACATGCTGAATCTGGAAAAAAGGTAGTGCTACAGTGAGACTTTAAACATGTAGCACTTGAATCTTAGGGCATTTTATTTCTCTCTCCGCTCCACAGAGAAAAAAAATGCTTAGAGGGATAATAGAGAAGTTTCTTCTTTTATAAAATTTTCACTTACCCATAGAAAATGGTCTAATTTAAAACACACCAAAATATAAGTTCCATAGTGTTTTGTTAGGCATGACATTTCACACAGTAGAATTTCACTGCTTTACTAAGGGAATAGATCAAAACAATCTTAGGTGGGTTGGGGGGGAGGGTTACTGTGTAGCTCAAAACTTGAAGGAAAAACAAAATCGCCAAGGGTGAGTTATTAAACTCTTCTGCATAATTAATTCTTCCATTTAAAGATTTGAACTGGTCTAAGCTTTATAACATTCATTGTATCTGAGCATCTTGCATAACTATCCCTTCATTTGTTATAGTCCCTTATATGTTCTAATGTAGTTTAGTCCTCTTTTTATAGGCAGGGGAATCCCATAAATATTAGTGTAGTCATTCTGAGTCTGAAGTCAAAAGGTCTTGGCCCTTTGTTTTATACAGTCTGGGAGACTCCAAAAATGTGGCACCATGTACCTCCCCACACATTACCAGTCCAGCCCAGTTAGTACAGTATTCTTTATATTATTTATATATAATTTACCAAAAAAAAAAAAAATTAAAAGAATGTTAAGGCTGCAAAGTCAAGCACTCAAAAGTTAGGATATGTCATTTGCGGTTGCCTGTGCAACCTTAATTCACCTCCCCCTTGTATGTATGCATTATGAGACCATCTTTAATTACATGATTACATACTATTTTTTCCACAGGACTCCTGCCTTAGTCAGTGCACACTGAATGAGTAGTCATTCAATATTTATTTTTATCCTAATCATTCAGTGTGTAGCTCCAGGCCTTGTATGACCCTACCATTTATTTACTTTAATATTGGATTCAATTTAGTTTTGATTGCCTCAGATTCAATGTGCTGTGAATCTTGTATGGATGACCAGTAACTGAGTTGTAGAAGTTGACTGAGGAGCACAGAAGGCCTTCATAGCTGAGTAAGGGTCCATTAAGTCTTTTGGTGCCCAGAAAGATGAGGTAATTTGATGTTTTGGTACCCAGGAGACATTTGAGGGTTAGGTACCAAGCAGGAAATACATTTCCGCTTTCCCTCCCTCCTTTCTTTTCAGCTTGGAAAAGAGATGACTGGGGGTGGAGGGAGGGGGAAATTAATAGAGGTCTATACATTCATGACTGGTATGGAAAAAGTAAATAAGGAAGTGTTATTTACTCCTCATATCACGAGAATTAGGGGTCACCCAATGAAATTAATAGGCAGCAGATTTAAAACAAACAAAAGGAAGTACTACTTCACACAATGCGCAGTCAACCTGTGGAACTATTTTGCCAGAGAATGTTGCGAAGGCCAAAACTATAACAGAATTTAAAAAAGAACTAGATAAGTTCATGGAGGATGGGTCCATCAGTATTAGCCAGGATGGCCAGGGATGTTGTCCCTAGCCTCTGTTTGCCAGAAACTGGGAGTAGATGACAGGGATGGATCACTCAGTTGCCTGTTCTGTTGATTTCCTCTGAAGCAACTGGCACTGGCCACTGTCAGAAGACAGGATACTGGGCTAGATGCACCATGGGTCTGACTCAATGTGGCTGTTCTTATGGAAGGGACAGAGATGGCAGAAAACTTGAGGTATGGATGATAATAGGATTTGAATTAGTTATTCTCCACCCCAGCAATTGGTTGCCCCCCTGCACACCCCACCTCAAGATCTGCCATTGCATCCAGAAACAATGGGTAATCAGATGAGCTTAATGTTTTGGCTAAAATGATCAGCAGTAAAACATTTACTATTGACTTTAAATTGTCGTCAGTCTTTAGTATTAACAATCCATTGAGACGAATAGAGCAGTTCAGACCTCTCGGAGCATTGTTTCAGACACTCTGCAGATTCAGTTTCTACTTTGATCTATCAGTTTCTGCTTGGTTCATGTTCTGAACATTTTTTTTCCTGTAACAATGAGGGATAGAGACTTAATTTTCTTAATAACATATTCAGTTCAGGAGCAGAGTTATTCAGCAGGTTAAGCAGCATTGAATTTGGTCCACTAGTTTCAACGGAGGTGGAGTGGGTGTAACTGAGGTCAGAATTTGACTCTCTTTTCAGTTAAAAGCTATTTAGTTCCAGATGTAGGGTTCAGTGAGAGAATATTAATGTAAGAGCTCAACTGTTTGTTGGCACAATGGGGCTCAACTACTGTTTAGATGGAGAGCTTTTGTAAGAATTATGATAGATATTATTGTGAGCCTCAGTATAGTGGATTATCTCTTGTTAAATACATAATTGCTATTTAATTTTGCTTTTCTTTTACTCTAGCCAACATTTAAACTGGAAAATCCTAGCTGTTGCAAGCTATGCACCACTTATCTCTATTATTGTTTTCAGGGTCCTGCTTATCTCAGCAGTTGCTTTAGACTCTAAGAAGGTTAGCGAAATTAAGGGGGAGAGAAGTGTCAAATGATGACCTTGAAAAATCCTGCAATGCCTTCAAAAAAAAGGGTTACAAATTTTTTCTAACCCACATTCCATTTGACACTTTTTTTCCCACCTCCCTCTCCAGTTAAGCTATTGGATTGCTAGATTAGTAAATATTATTAAATATTTACTGATTCGTCCTGATCTGTACAAAGGCTTTTAATGGATTTTAATTTATTTTTTAAATTGTTTACCTGAAACTTCTAATAATCAACACATTTTGGCCTGAATAGGTGAAGACTATGTGCTAACTTTGTGGGAATAATTAAGAGAATGCATTAAGAGGAGTCTGAAACAGAAATAGGAAGAATACATGGAAACAGGTATTCCTTTCTTCCAATAAGAATTGCTATTGTTATGGCTCAGATAGTTGCCCTGAATGTATAACTAGACTTTTTTGTACGTCCTGCAACAACAGAATGATTGAGGGCATCATCTTAACTATGCCTTCATATTTTTGTGAGGTGGGGGGGAAGTGTCAATTTTCCTTTAGCATAATCAAGAAGAGAGTTCTCATGTTGTCTGCAGGACACTACTCCAGCCAGATGATCCTTATCACAAACTGAGATATCCTTGGCAGTATGCAGGTAGGTTAACAAGTAATTCTCTTACTATTAACATGGAATGTATAATTGCACTATAGCTCAGTTTGAAGATGGTGCTTTAATTCTAAACCGCAAATTTTAATTTATTTCTGAGTTACTCAGAAATTACCCTTTAGAGGTAGTTTCACATGCCTGATAAACATCCATTATTTAAAAAGGGGAGGAGGGGAACAATTTAACACAGCTTTTATAAGGAGGCAACGGTGCTCAGAAAGCACTCCATCGGATTATGGCTGCTTCGAATAGGCAGCCAACTAAGTCTGCATTCTTAGGGTTACCATATTTCAGCAAGCAAAAAAGAGGACGGGAGGAGCCCTGCCCTAGCCCCTCCCACTTCCCGCCCCCCCAGAACCCCCAACCCTCCCCCCGTTCCTTGTCCCCTGACTGCCCCCTCCTGGGACCCCTGCCCCTAACTGCCCCCCCAGGACTCCACTCCCTATCTAAGCCTCCCTGCCTCTTGTCCCCTGACTGCCCCAACCCTTATCCACACCCCCACCCCCAGACAGACCCCTGGGACTCCCACACCCCATCCAACCACTCCCCACCCCGACAGCCCCCCCAGAACTCCCAACCCATCTAAACCCCTCTGCTCCCTGTCCCCTGACTGCTCCGATCCCTCTCCGTACTCCTGCCCCCTGACAGCCCCCCCCAGAACTCCCAACCCATCTAAACCCCTCTGCTCCCTGTCCCCTGACTGCTCCGATCCCTCTCCGTACTCCTGCCCCCTGACAGCCCCCCCCAGAACTCCCAACCCATCTAAACCCCTCTGCTCC